CACAAGTCATCAGTACAATTGCTGGAATGTTGTCAGGGCCCATAGCCTTTGCAGTATCCAGTGTCTCCAATTGTTTCTTGATATCACGTGGAGTGAATTGCATTGGCTGAAGACTGGTATCTGTAATGCTGGGGACCACCGGAGGAGGCCGAGATAGATCATCCACTGGGCTCTTCTTTCTGAAAATTCCTGCGAATGCTTCAGCCTTATCTTTTGCACTGATGTGTTGGGCTCTTCCATCATTGAGATTGGGGATATTTGTGGAACCTCCTCCTCCAATGAGTTGCATACTTGTCCACCACCATTCACAACTGGATGTGACAGGACTGCAGAGCTTAGATCTGATCCGTTGGTTGTGGGATCACTTAGCTCTATCACTTGCTGATTTTGCTGTTTGGTGTGCAAGTAGTCCTGTTTGGTGGCTTCACCAGGTTGACACCTCATCTTCAGGTATGCCTGGTGCTGTTTGTGGCATGCTCTCCTGCACACTCCATTGAACCAGGGTTGATCCCCTGGCTTGATGGTAATGGTTGAGTGGGGGATATGCCAGGCCATGGGATTACAGATTGTGCTAGAATACAATTCTGATACTGTTGATGGCCACAGTGCCTCATGGATGCCCAGTCTTGGGTTGCTAAATCTGTACAAAGTCTGTTCCATTTAGTACGATGATGGCGCCACACAACACAATGGAAGTTCTTCTCAATGTGAAGTGGGACTTCATCTCCACAAAGACTGTGCGATGGTCGCTCTTAATCAATACTGTCATGGACAGATGCAACTGGTAAGGATGAGGTCAAGTATGCTTTTCCTTCTTTTTGGTTCCCTCACCACCTGCTGCAGACTCAGTATAGTAGCTATGTCCTTTAGGACCCGAACAGCTCAATCTGTAGTAATGCTGCCAAGCCACTCTTGGTGGTGGACATTGAAATCCCCCACCCAGAATACATTTTGTGCCCTTGCTATCCTCCGTGCTTCCTCCAAGTGTTGTTCAACATTGAGGAGTACCAATTCATCAACTGAGTGAGGATGGTACGTGGTAGTCAGCAGGAGGTTTCCTTGCCCATTTTTAACCTGAAGCCATGAGACTTCAGGGGGTCCAGAGTCAATGTTGAGAACTCCCAGAGCAACTCCCTCCTGATTGTATATCACTGTGCCGCCACCTCTGCTGGTCTGTCCTGCCCATGGGACAAGATATATTCAGGAATGGTGATGGTGGCGTCTGGGACATTGTCTATAAGGTATGATTCTGTGAGTTTGATTATGTCAGGCTGTTGCTTGACCAGTCTGTCCTGGCCAACATCTCCCTATAACTCAGGCCTACTAGTCCTCGTAAATCTTCTTTGCGCACTTTCCACCTTAACTAGGTCTTTCCTATAACAGGGTGACAAAAGCTGTACACAATACCCCAAGTGCGGCCTAACCAACGACTTATACAACTGTAACATAACATTCCAACTCCTATACTCAATGCCTCAACTGATGAAGGCCACCATGCTAAATGCCTTCTTCACCACCCTGTCTGCCTGTCACTTTCAACAAACTCTGTACTTGTACTGCTAGGACCCTCTGTTCCACAACACTCCTCAGGACCTTATCATTTACTGTATAAGTCCTACCTTGGTTTGACTTTCCACAGTGCAACACCTCACACTTATCTGTATTGAATTGCATTTGCCAATCCTCAGCCCACTTCCCCATCTGATCAAGGTGCCTCGTAATTTTTGATAACCTTCCTCGCTATCAATGATACCTCCTAATTTTGTATCATCCGCAAACTTGCTAATCATGCCTTGTACATTCACATCCAGATTATTTATGTAAATAACAAATAACAAAGGTCCCAGCGCCAACCCCTGTGGAATACCTCTAGTCAGAGCCCTCCAGTCTGAGAAACAACCTTTAACAATCACCCTCTGCTTTCTACCATCCAGCCAGTTTTGAATCCAATTAGCTAGTTCTCTCTGGATCCCATGTGATCTAACCTTCATAACTAGCCTGCTGTGCAGGACCTTCTTAAAGGCCTTACAGATAATATCAACTGCCCTACCCTCATCTATCCTCTTGGTTACCTTTTCAAAAAACTCCATAAGATTTGTCTGACATGACTTCCTGTGCACAAATCCATGCTGAGTATCCCTAATCAGACCTTGGCTATCCAAATGTTGATTGATCCTGTCTCTCAGTATCCTCTCCAATAACTTGCTTACCACTGATGTCAGGCTAACTGGCCTGTAGTTCCCTGGCTTGTCTTTTCTACCATTCTTGAAGAATAGAACAACATCAGCCACCCTCTAGTCTTCCGGAACTTCACCAGTGCCTAAAGATGAAGCAAAAATCTCTGCAAGGGCCACTGCAATTTGTTGCCTAGCGTCCCACAATGTCCAAGAATGGACTTGATCAGGCCCAAGGGATTTATCTACTGTAATGTGTTCTAAGGCTGTAAACACCTCGTCTCTAGTAATATGTATGTGGTCCAAAACATCCACCATTTCCTTAGCATCCATGATCCTCTCCGCAGTAAACACTGAGGAGAAATATTCATTATAAATCTCCTGTGGCTCCACTCATGGATAGCCATGCTGATCTTTAAGGGGACCTATTCTCTCAGCTCTTGGGATTATCTTTAACCTTATCTGCCAGATCCATCTCATATCTTTTTTTGCTGTTCTGTTTTCCCTCCTAAATGTGCAGAGGCTGGAAGAGATTATAAGTGATGTGGGACAGGTCTTTGATGATGTTGGCTGCCTTTCCGCGGCAATGAGTAATATTGATAGAGTCAATGGATGGAAGGTTACATGTGATGGTCTGGGCTGTGTTCACAACTTTCTGTAGATTCTCATGGTCTTGGGCAGAGCAGTTGCCGTACCAAGCCATGATGTATCCTGATAGCACGCTTTCTTCAGTGCATCTGTAAACGTTAGTGAGGGTCCTTATGGACATGCCGAATTTCCTTAGCCTCCTGAGGAAGAAGAGGCATTGCTGTGCCTTTTTGACCATTGCATCAACTTGGTGGTCCAGGACAGGTTTTATTATTCAGCCAGGACAGTAGCTTGTTAACAGATGAGCTGTCCTTAATGTGAAAGTATTAATTGTGTTTGTTTTTATAAGAGATTAAGTGCTTGAAAGGATTTAAATGTATTGAATGGGCTTTTATCAACTAGAGTATTTTTAATGGTGAATTTTGTTGTAGAAATTTATTTAATTTCATATGAGCTTTGCTCCTACCTGAGGAGTTGGGAAGGACTCCGGTCACAACCAGCAATCCTGCAGTGATGACAGATCAAGCATGGGCTGGAGCGATGTTGGTGGATCAAGAGTGGGCTGGTTCGATAGCGAGAGCAGGCTGGTGAGACGGCTGCAGTCGGTGGTGACAGCAAGCTGGTGAGGCAGCAACAATCGGTGGCGAGAGTGGCCAGTGAGGAGGCAATAGCGGCGAGAGCAGGCCTTTTGCATGGCAGTGGCAGTGGTCTCCTGGGTATCCTTGTGATTGGAGCAGCGCCTACACCATTTGGGGAGATGGAACTTGGGACTCTGAGATCTGGACTCTTCTTTTTCTCTCGTTCTGGGCGCCAGTGAATGGCGACTTTGTGCACTTTTCGCTGTACTTATATATTCTTATACTTAGTACATGTGACATAAATAAGGGTAATGTAGTCTAATACTCATAGTGGGTACTGTATGAGTTAGCATGGAGACTGAAAGGGCAAAAATGGTGGGCATGAGCTGCCATATTAGAACAGAGCCTACAAGGGACAATAGGGATGAGCACAAGATCATGGACTGCCATGAATTGACATGGGAGCCATAGAGGCCATGGGTGGGTAGAAGAACGTGGTCAGTATTGAGCATGTGAAGGACCATTAGAGCATGGTTAGGAGCGTGAATTGGCATTAATAGGACATGGGGAGTGGGTAAGGGCATGAAGGCTACAAGGCCTTATTATAACTGAGACAAAGCCCTGAGCACCTTGACACTTGACAGCCCTTGCGGCTGCTGCCGTGGGTGGAAAAGGCAAGTGGGACAATTGGAAATTTCCTGACTGTGCATTCACATTGGAAGCAAATGTCAGGGCCAGACAGTTCAGTTTTTGCCTAATCTCCTAACTGGTAGATCCTAGGGATGTAGGAACAGGAGTAGGCTGTTCAGCCCATCGAGCCTGCTTCACAAGTTAATGAGATATTGGCTGATTGAACACTTCAATGCCTTTTACATAGAGACATTCACAAATTTATCAATCCATGCATTAATTATACCCAAAGTGTGAGTTTCCAGAGCCTTTGGTATTCAGAATTCCAAAGATTCACCACCCTCAGCAAATGCATTCTCCTCATCTTGGTCCTAAATGGCATCTCTCATTTTTAAATTGTGCCCCCCATTTCAGACTCGGCAACAAGGGGAAATAATCTTACCTGCATTTACCCTGTTTACCCCCGTAAGAATTTTGTAGGCTTCAATGAGATCACCTCTCATTCTTCAAAACTCTAGGGAATACAGGCCCAGTTTGTCCGATCTTTCTTCATAAGACAGTTCAGCCTTCCCGGGAACAAATCTGATGAACCTTCATTGCTCTCCCGCTGTGACAAAATATTCTTCTTGAGATAAAGTGACCAAGACTGCATACAGCAGTGCGGTATAATTAAGCTCTTATACAATTGAAGCAAGACTTCACGACTGTACTGAAATTGTCTTGTGATTAAGGCCAAGATTTCATTACCCTTCCTAATAGTTTGCTGCACTTGCATGTTAGCCTTCAGTGACTCATTGACGAGAACATCCAAGGACATTTACACATTTACACTTTCTAATCTCTCACCATTTAAGAATTACAGTGCAATTCTATTATTTCTGCCAAAATGGATAAACTCACATTTTTCTGCAGTATATTCCATATGCATGTTCTTGCCCAATCACTAAGCCTCCTGAAAACATTTTACACCTTCCTCACAACACACATTCCTGTTTAAATTTTGTATATTCACAAATTTGGAAATAATATATTTGGTCCCCACGTCCAAGTCATTAATATTTATTGTGTTGCACAAAAACAACATACAACAAAAGAATGTAAACTCATGCATGCCCAATATATATCTTCATAATTGACATTCAATCCAGTTAAAGCAAAAATACTGAAACCAGTAGCTTTTAAGTTGAAACACATACAGAATGAAAGAAAAACTGATCACTTCAAAATGGGCTGCATACAATTTTCTGACAAAATAATGGTGCAGGAATATGATGCTGCAGCATTTGCCTTCAGAAGAGAAAGAATCTTAGCTTGTGGTTTGGTTGCAAGTGAAGATCTGAAATTAGAGTCTCATACAATTCCCTCAATAGCAAACTAATTCTTACAACCATGGAAGGTTGGGAATAGAAAAACACTCCTTCAGGAACAAGGATTATGTGGATGGTCTGTGAAAGGATACAAATATATTTCAGCCTTGTTTGTACATGGTTCATAATAAGGGTGAATAAAATTTTCCTGGAAAGTATTGCAACCGATAGAGAGGTCTTTGCTGAAGAGAATTTTGATTTGCACAAGAACCTGCCGTTTCTGAATGAATAAAGAAAAGAAATAGTATTAGAAGAAATAGTTGCATTGATGATATTGTTGTACATCTTTATAATCTTTTCATTTCTATACACAACAAATGAACTAGTAAAGTATCAAAGCACATCAGTGGTACATTGTAAAACAAAATTTGACATTGAGCCAGCATTGAAGATGTTAGAGCTAATAACCAAAACTTTCTCTAAGAGATAGGCTTTTTGAAGTGTTTATAAGGAGAAAGAGAGAGGATAACTTGCGTTCCTTTTAAAATTGACAGGTGTGTCGCAATTCTGAGATTCCTGACCCCACTCACAGGGTTAATGATCTTTGGGAGTGCCTTTTAACTGTGCAGGCCGATTTGGGTAGTGAGGGTGCTCCCAACTTGGCCGGCTCCATTGTAGGGATAGGCGTGTCTTTTCCTAACCATTATTATGGAGTTGGTGAGATAATTAAATGGTCCTAGTTCACTGCACACCCAACAACCTTGAGTTGCACTATATTGCCTTCCTGGTTTTGAACAAAGTTCCACAACACTCATGCAAGTCTCTCCACCCGCTTCTACCTTGGTGGGCTGGTCCACACTCACTCTATCACAATGAAAATCCCAACCCTATGTGTAACTACTCCTGAGGTGGGTGGGCCAAGTCAGGAATTTTCCTGACTCCCACTGCCTACCTTGAGGATAAAAATTCAGACTTTTGGGCAATTCTAGAGCTTGGAACACTGGCAACTGAAGGCATGGCCATTGATAGAGGAATGATTAAAATCAGAGATGTTGAGGAGGCCTGAATTGGAAGAGCACAGATACCTTGGAAGGTTGTGGGGACTGGAGGAGGTTACAGCGATAGGGATGGGTGAGGCCATGGAGAGATCTGAAAAGAAGAATGTATTTTAAAATTAAGGCATTGTTTAACTGAGAGCCATTGTGAGCCAGTAAATATGAAGGCGTTAGGTGAACTGGTGTGAGCTACAACATGAGCAACAGAGGTTTTGGATAATCTCAGATTTAAGAAGGGTCGAAGGTTGGACGGCAGCATTAGAATAATCAAAGCCAGAGGTAACAAAGGCATGGATGACATTTTCAACAGCAGATGAGCTGAATCAGGGATGTTATCAGGCAATAGACGGGTAGAAATAGGCAATCTTATAGATGGATTGGATTTGTGAAGATTACAAGTAACACATGCAGCTTGTCAAAATGAAAGCATAAAAATGTGGTGTGTGAATAAAAAGAGAAATTGAGAATCTAATATTTCAGATGGGAATGTTTCACTAGCTACCGAACATTTACTTTATTAAAAAAAAATCAGACTCTGCTGAATATGCTACAAGTTAGTGTGGTTCAGTTGATATCATGTTGTGTCTGAATGACAAGCTTGAGGTCCCCCTCCAGGAGCTGAATGCAAAAATTAAGGCTGAGACTCCAGTGCAGTAGTTAGGGAGCGCTGCAGTATCTGGGGTTTCATTTTTTTGTATGAGGTATTAAATCAAGATAGGTTTTAAAATAGCTATGAACAAAAATAAGTCAGGATCTTGCGGGAAGATACTAAATTCGGGGAGGGCAAATTACGTCAGTATTAGGCAGGAGCTAGGGAGTGTTAATTGGGAGGAGCTGTTATTAGGCAAGACCACATTTGACATGTGGGAACTGTTTAAAGACGTGCTGGGAGAGTTCAAGACTGGCCTGTTCCAGTAAGGAGGAAGGACAAGGATGGCAAGGTAAGGGACCCTTGGATAACAAGGGAGGTTGTGAATTTAGTGAAAACGGAAAAAGAAGCATATGTAAGGCTTAGGAAGCTAAAATCGGACAAGGCCCATGAGGAGTATAAGAAAAGCAGGAAAGTACTCAAGCAGGGAATTAGGAGAGCAAGAATGTGCCATATAAAATGACCTTGGCAAGTAAGGTTAAAGAGAATCCCAAGGCATTCTATAGACACATTAAAAACAAGAGGATAACTAAGGAGAAGGTAGGATCACTCAAGGATAAAGGAGGAAACTTGTGCTTGGAGGCAGAGAATGTGGATGAGATCCAAAATGAGTCTTTTGCATCGGTATTAACCCAGGAAAAGGATGTGGAGGAAAGTCAGATTTGTGTGGAGCGTGCTAATATGCTAGGGCATTTTGAGATCGAGGAAGAAGTGGTGTTGGATCTCTTGAAGAGCATTAAAGTGGATGAGTCCCCAAGGCCCGATGGTATCTACCCCAGGTTATTGAGAGAAGCAAGAGAGGGGCCTTAACCAAGATCTTTGTATCCTCACTAGCCGCTGGATAGGACCGGGAGAACTGGCGTGCAGCTAACGTTTTCCCTCTGTTCAGGAAGGGAAATAGGGATAACCCAGGAAACTACAGACTGGTGAGTCTCACATTGGTGATTGAGAAGCTATTGGAGGGAATTCTTAGGGATAGGATTTATGTACATTTGGAAAAGCATGGCTTAATTAGGGACAGTCAGCAAGGCTTTGTAAGGGCAGATCATGTCTTATTAACTTGCTGACTGATTTTTTTGAGGAGGTGACAAAGGTGATTGATGAGGGTATTATTACCTTGGCTTGCTTGTTGAAGTGAATGTAAAACATCTAGGGCACTATTTTGAAGAAGCACTGTGGAGTTCTCAATGGTGTCCTGGCAAAAATGTATCCCTCAATTAAAACCATAAAAGCATTATCCAGTCAATATCACATTGTTGTTTGTGGGAGTTTGCTGAGCACGTACAATATTGACTACTCTTCAAAAAAGTACTTGATTAACTGGAAAGCCCTTTGAAACATATGACGGTTGTAAAAAAGTGCTTTACCAGTTTTTATTTTTCCATCATTTTTAATTTTTATTTTAGAATTCCAGCAGCTTTTGTTTCATCGTCTTGTGGAGGTAACATAGTCAGATGTCTCTTGAAAGAGTGGTAAGGAGCATAATTAGAGAAGAAAATAACCTAACAAAATATTTTCAAATAGTAGAGCAATTCTTTAGTGACTCTGTTTTCCAGATAAAGGATTCCCACACAGAAAACTCCTGATTTCAGACATACCTTTGCATGAAGTGCATAATGAAGACTAGATGCTTTTCCAGGAGGAAAGAAGGATATTACTAATAAGATCACAAGAAGAAGCATCTCAGGTGATGCATTGTGTGAGGTCTAATAAGAGAAGGATATACACAAAGAATAGTGGGTCCCGAGGGAGTACTGAGGAACAAGAAGACCTTGGTGTACAAATGCACAGATCCCTGAAGGTATCAGCATAGGTAGACAGGGTGGTGAAGTATGCAAACAGGAATGTTTACCTTCATTACCCGGGTGTAGAATAAAGCAGCAAGGAAGTCTTGTTGCAACGTTATAAAACATTGGTTAGGCCAAAGATAGTATGCTGCATGCAGTTCTGGTCACCACATTATCGGAAAGGTTTCATTGCACTGGAGAGAATGCAGAGGTGTTTCACCAGGATGTTCCCTGGGATGGAAGGTCTCAGCTATGAGGACAGGCTGAATAGCCTGGGTTTGTTTTCCTTGGAGCAGAGGATTCTGAGGAGGGATCTGATTAAGCATTACAAAATTATTAGAGGGATAGACAGGGTAGAGCGTGAGAATCTTTTCCCCATGGCCAATGTGTTTAAGACCAGACGACATCAGTTTAAGGTGAAGAGTAAGTGGATTGGAGTGGATCTGAGGAGAGATTTTTCACCCAGACGGTGGTAGAAATATGGAATGCGCTGCCTGAGAGAGTGGTGGAGACATGTACTCTTGCAACATTTAAGAAGCATCTGGACAAGCACTTAAAATGCCAGGGCATAGAACATAGAACATTACAGCGCAGTACAGGCCCTTCGGCACTCGATGTTGCGCCGACCTGTGAAACCAATCTGAAGCCCATCTAACC